ATGCAAATTGTTGAGCATGTAGAGTTCTACTGTTGCTTTTATCAAATAGTAAAATCACCAGTGGATGTGGATAACCAAATGGGAGATGAAAGGAAGTTTGTCTTTATAGAAATATTAGAGTTAACAAATGATGAAATAAGATAGAAACAGAATATAAGATTACGAAACTCAAAGGATCTGAGCATTCATCATTAACTGTTTATATAATTATAAGAGAGACGATCAAACAATATATGTCTTCCCATGGAAAAACATGCTACTACCTATGAAGCATCTTGACAAAAAAAACCCACCACAACACAACAACAACAACAACAAAAAACAGCCCTGGTCAGTGTCTCAATGGTTAGAGCATCAGCCTGAACACGAAAGGGCCCCTGTGGGGGCATGCGGAAGGCAACCTCTCAATGGTTCTCTCTCACATCAATGTTTCTCTCTCCCTCACTCTCTCTCTCCCCCTCCCTCCCTTCTTTCCACTCTCTCTAGAAATCAATGGAAAAAATATCCTTGGGTGAGAATTAACAACAACAACAACACACACACACACACACACACACACACACACACACACACACATCTGAATTTGGTCAAGCTGATGTATTCTACCAATGTACAAAAAATAAATAGAATGGAAGAATCTGTTAAACTACAACCCATAATGCAGTGAGCAAAATTTAAACTGTAAAAACTACAAGACAACCAACCCAGTTTTTCCTACAAATTGCAAGGAAAAACAAAAAAGAGAAAGGGAAATATGGGGATGGGTAAGACCGCTATAAATTATATTATGACAACAAATAATGAGAAATGTAAACAATAAACTGGCTATTTTATGACATTAAGGAAGTATTAATTTTTAGGTATAATATATATACCATGGTTATGTTTTCAAAGTGTTCTTTCTTCTACAAATACATGCTAAAATTCATATAGGTATAGTTATATAGTGTCTGGAATTTCCTTAATAATCCAGTTGTGGGGAAATAGGTTGGGAATATGGATGAAAAAAAGTGCCCAGGGCTTGATAATTGTTGCAGTTGGAAGATGATTTTATAGGTTTCATTATAATGTTCTCTTTAATTCTGTCTAATCTTGCAATTTCCCACATATGTGAGTTTGCTAGGGCTGCATAACAAAATACCATAAACTGGGTGGCTTAAACAACAGAAATTTAATTCTTCACAGTCCTGAAGATTGGAAGTCTAAGATCAAGATGTCTGCAGGTTTGCTTTCTTGTGAGGTCTCTCTCCTTGGCTTGTAGGTGGCCACCTTTTTGCTCACATGGTCTCTTCTCTGTGTACCCCACTGCTGGTGTCTCTTTTTGTATCCAAATTTCCTCTTCTTAAAAGAACACCAGTCAAGTTGCACTGGGCCCACTCTAATGCTCTCATGTAAACTTGATTACCTCTTTAAAGGTCCTATCTCCAATTTATATGAATTTAAAACATGTAAATTCAGGGAAGACACAGTTTAGCCCTTAACACCATAATGAAAAATTTAAAAATAAAACAAAATATAATATTAAATATACAATATTTTAAAAATTAAAATACATAATAAAGAAATACGAATTGGTTTTTGGCCTATATCTTCATGTAAACTTGTCTCATAGTCTCTCTCACCTTTTAATATTTTACATAGGCCTTATATCCTTAGCAGAAAGGTATTTTTGTAGTGGCTTTATAAGATCTCAGACACTAAAGTACAATCATAAGGTAAACTAAATTTTGTTGTGAGCAGCTAGCTATATCTAGCTACTAGAGTTTATGAACTGAATGTATGCCCCCCCTCCAAATTTATGTTAGAACCTAGTTTTCAGTGTGATGGTATTTGAAAGTGGGGCCTTTGGGAGGTAATTAGGTCAAGAGACTGAAGCCCTCATGAATGGGATCAGTGCCTTATATAGAGACCAGAAAGCTAGCTCACTCTTTCCACAATAAAACAGAGAGCTAGCTCACTCTTTCCACAATAGAAGGATACAACAAGGTATCAGCCATCTGTAAACCAAAGGAGAGTCTCACTAGGACCCACCCGTGCTTGCACCCTGATCTTGAACTTACAGCCTCCAGAACTATAAAAAATAAATTCATGTTGTTCATAAACCACTAGTATTTTATTATAGCAACCCAAGCTAAAACATAAAGTGTTATCCATTTTTTAAAGAAACTATTCATCTAGCTAATATTATATTTCACGTGTATAAAATTATACACAAACTGAGAAATTGAGGAGTTAGGTGACAGCATAATTAGGAATATTATTCTGACCCATTTTGGAAAAGTTTAGTAATGAATTTCTATGTAATTGCTTCTGTTCAAACTCAAATCTCAGTTGATGATTCTATCTTTCCCTTCTTCTCTCCATACTCCAAAAAGCTGACAATTAATATTTCTATTTTACTATAAGGATACATAAAACTTCAGAAAACATAGAATCAGACAGTGAGGTGAGGTCAGACTCAGAGATGAGGGAAATATTTGAGACCTTTAGCATCAGCTATGCCAAAAGGAAATGCACACTGGATAAATGACACAAAGTCATTACCGCTCCATTGCCCTTTCTGTCCATTCCATTTTTTGCAAAGGCCCAATTTTCCATAGAAACAGATCAGATTTACAGCAAATACAAAGATTGCATCTTTTATTTATAAGGCAAAAACCCTACCCAACCTATTTTTCATTAAAATTGCGTGTCCTATAATACTGGCCTTCAGAGTATAATACTGGCCTTCAGAGTATTAGGCAAACATTACATAACACTTTGGTTATTCCTGTGGGAACCATTAGGCAAAGACCTTGAAGGTCAATCTCCTCAGCACAGTTCTGAGACTACCAATTCTGACCTTGACTGCTTGACTCAGTGATAATGAGCTTTTGGGATGAAGTTGTGAGACTGTGAACAAACGCACATGCTCGCTGTCCCTTCTCCACTCTGCCTCCCTTCCAGAGGAACGTCTTTTGTGAAGACACCCTGGAGCCGAAATCAATCCATAGACAATTATGCGATTAGGAAAATAATATATTACCAAGTAATAATTAAAATACAAATATAACGTTTATTTTGGATCTTATTACATCCATCGAGAAGGTTTGGCAAAAAAAATCAGGTAGATAAGGTAGAGATAGGGAGTTACTTAAGGAGTAGGTAAGAGGGGAGAAGACTGGCAAGTGATAGCCTGGAGCAGAGAGTACAATTGTTGGGAGGGCACACATACACCAGGCAAAGGGGCTTCGAGAAAGCTCCTTCCCCCACAGGACTGACATGACTGTCCTGAGTAAATGTGACGTGGATGGAGATAATCCCTGTCACCTTTAAATGTCAATGTCTAACTCTTTCTGAAGACTTAGTTCCTTATTTTAAGGATGAGGAAAACAAGGAAGAGGCTTCAGAGAAAATATACACAATTTTCAAATGCTTAACATTTTTCTTCTGTACTATGTCATGCTGGCACTTAAAGACCAGAAAGTAGGTGCTTGATTTTTACTGCACTCTGTATATTCTTGTTTATTTATTTAAAATTTTATTTATTGGGGTGACATTGGTTCACAAAACCATACAGATTTCAAGTGTACAACTCAATAAAACATTATCTGCACAGGCAGTCTCTTCCCTTCCCCATTCCCCCCACTTTTGCCCAACTCCACCTATCCCACCCTCTTTTTCCTCTGGCTGTCACCACACTGTCATCTGTGTCTATATATATATATACGTTTTTTGGCTAATCCCTTTACCTTATGCGTTCTATAGTTTTCAGCAAACCCTGTCAAATAATGTGGTCATTCCTAGGTTTAGTATAACTTCAAACACGTCTGAGAAAAAAATACACGTGAAAGAAGTATGCCTATGCTGAACAACAATTACATGGCGTACTTTTCAGAGCAGTGCTTCTCAAGCTTTAATGTGCATACAGGTCACCTGAGGTCTTGCTAACACGCAGATTTTAACTAGTAGGTCTAGGGCAGGCCTATGATTCTGCATTTCTATTAAGTGCTCAGGTGATGCTGGTGATGCTGGTCCACAGACCACACTCTGTGCAGGTTGTAGACCAACACATGCAAATCTGGCTTTGGCAGGAAATCTGTGCCCTCAAGTTCATTCTCATTTTTATTCCCCACCTCCCCCACACCCTAAGTTCCTGCATTACTTCTTGTTTCACTGGTATGAGAAACTTTTAGTACCAGAGTGGGTACAAAAGAAAATAAAATATTCTAAAATAACAACTTCAAGTGGAGCAATAAGATTTTAAATTGTCTCATAGGTAGAGACATAATTTTTGATATGCATGAATTATACATACTTCATGCAAATCAATGAACAAATACACAGTAGCCTTCTGTTTGTTTCCATAAATGAAGCCTTGTCTGCATAGCTTACAGGAAGTTGATTTAATTAATGCACAGCACACAACCTCATTGTTCAAGTATCTCTAGAGTGAGGCGATCTGAATAATTCAAATTTTCCAGATAACTGAAGCTTATCTTTTTAAGTATCCAAATATATTTATTTTAGTGATTTTTAACCAACATTTTTCTGGAACTAATGTATTCAAGACTTGTTAGATACACAAAACAAAGTTTAGCATATCTACAATTATCCAGGGCCCACGATGATTATTCCGTGGCACCATGTAGCAATGCTATAGGAACCACGCAGGTCTAGGTGGGCTGCGTGCTCTTACACAATAGAGTCTGAGACACACTTTGGGCATCTCTCAGCCTATATGGAGCAAACTTCTGACTCTTTCCTCCATGGTCAGCTGCCACTTCATACTGATCTCTGATTGCCCTCCGATGACAATTTTAATCTGCTTGTTATTTTTCGCATAATACTATGGGAAAGATTCTGAGACTGGCTCCCTTCTCATTTCCCTCATGTTTTCAATGCAGCTCTCTTTCAGGGCTTTGGGTTAGTGGTTACCTGAATCAGTATAATCATTTCATCTTAAAGAAATCACGCAAGTTAATCCCCTTGAAGCAGTTCTTACTATGACTGATACTCACTGATCCCAGTGTCCTTACAGTACTGGACCAAGAACTGTCCCATGACTCTTAGCAGATGATTATATTCTTGGACATTGAGAAATTCCTGCTTATTATGAGATGGTTCCATGACCTCCAAAGGTATATTGACAATTCCAATCACGCCTGCACCAAGCCTAGGGGAATATAGACATACAGAAATTTTGGGAGAACATTTTAGGAAAAATTTAGCTAAGGGGGAAAAAAGCAAAATACCAAGTATTTTTAAATTTTTTTTCCCAAAAATAAATGGCTCACTTGGTCTGAACCATGCCAAAGTTTAATAAGTTATTTTACAACTGTATTTGGTTACATATATCTATGGTGATCCCAGGTATATTTGGTCTCATAATACAAATGGCTTTAGTACATCATTACTGAATTAATACGCCTCTTTTGCCAAACCTATCACCTTACATGGGGAGTCAGGGTAGGGGGGAAAGGAGGTCTCTTAGCATTAACCACCACTACGAATGCTTGGCTGCAAGAAACTGACATGATGCTCTTAATGAAATTGGCCATAAGTCACTTTCTTCATCCTCTTTTCATCTGTCAAGTTGGATTTCTCCTCATTGCAAAGGTCCAGAGGACGCTCAATGAATTCTACTAAGAGAACATAATGGCTGGACTATTCCTGAGAGTAACAGGCATCTGCCTGGTAGTCTTACTGGGATGGATAAACTCAGTTTTTCCCCACACTTTTAGCAGCTCATGCTATATGTAACTAGGATATCCTACTTAGTGACATAACCTGTTCTGGGAAAGAGTATCTGGACTCTAACTCTTTAGGGCCAGCCCAATACCCGTGGAATGGCATACAAATCAAGCTTTCCCAATCTGGGGCTCCTGCCTATCAAGTCTTTCACCACTTTCCCTTTACACTGAGCCCTGCCTTCACTATTCATTCTGTAAGTCTAAAGTAGGGCATCCTTTCTCCAAGGAAGCCTGACTGCCCATCCTAAATGGGCATATATTCATTCATTCATTCATTCAAGCTGAGCACCTGAACTAAGAATAGAGTAGAACAGGAAGACAATGTCCCTGTTTATGAAGTTTCTCTGCTATTGAAGGGGGACAAGGCATGATGCTAGTAAATGTCTAAATGTACAAGATCGCTTCAGATGGTGAAAAATGATCTGGGGGGAAAAAAGCAGGTGCTGTAACATGTAAAATGTGATAGGTAGCCCTAGCTGGTTTGGCTCAGTGGATAGAGCATTGGGAAACGAAGGGTCCCAGATTTGATTCCGGTCAGGGACACATGCTTGGGTTACAGGCTCCATCCCCAGTGTGGGGCATGCAAGAAGCAGCCAATCAATGATTCTCTCTCGTCACTGATGTTTCTATCTCTCTCTCCCTCTCCCTTCCTCTCTGAAATCAATACATACACACACACACACACACACACACACACACACATACATATATATACATATACATACATATATATACACATATGTATACATATACACACATATTTAAGTGATAGATATGTGAGGGGGGTAGTGATGGCAGGGGCTAATTCTACTTGGGCAGTCCAGGAAGACCTTCCTGTGGAGGGGACTTTAGGGCTGGTGCCTCAGTGGCATGCTCGGACCAGCAGTAAGGTCTAAAGACAGAAGGCTCTAGGAGAGGAAATGGCAAGTGCCAAGGACATGAGGCAGGAGCGAGCTTAGGACGTCTGAGGAACAGGAAGCCGGGTGGTGTGAAGGGAATGCAGTGAGAGGGTGGGTATGGGTGGGGCAGGGTGTTACAGGGCCAAGCAGAGACCAGATCACTGGAATACCACAGCAACTACCTCTATTCTACATGCATTGGTGTTTTAAGCAAGACAGTAAATTAATTTATGTTGTAAAAGATTATTCTTACTGTTTCCATACCATATGAAAAATACATATTTATACACTCGTCCCTTTCATTGGACTATAAGTACGTCAGCAAGTGGTGGTAGGTCTTCACCATCTTGTCTGCAGAGCTTAGTTCAATGCCTGGCCCGCATGATATTGCAATATAAGTGCTTGTTAAGTGAACGTATGAATGAATTGCTAATTCCTTGAGATTGAGGAAGCAAGATGAAAACTTTCCCCTGAGCCATTCTACTGGTCACGGTTGTCTTGTCTGTCTCTGTGCTTCCCTATGGTCTCTTTTCAGGACTTTACATAATTCATGAAAGCAGCTTGTGGAGTTTCAGACCACTGGGCAAGCACCAGACTATTACTCTGGAATTCAAATAGGCTGCCGTGTTAAAAACATTTGCTCATGTTGGCGAGAACCTATACATGAAGGGGTTACACGATATCTTACAAGTTGCTTTTTAGGACTATGGATTTTTCTTTTCTAAAATTTCTTTAATATGCCTGCATTACTTTATACTTGGTAAAATACTAAAACCTTAATTTGAGTAAATGGTGCAAAGAAAGGTAAAACATCAAGTTGCTCAGAAAATGCACTGAAAAAATTTCCAGAAGTGAGCTTCTTCTTTGGAGCAGGCATATAGCTCTACTGGTGTAAATTAGGCGGATTAATGGCTGTGCAATGATAGGAAGGGTGAACAGAGGATATGACACCTGCTCCAATTATGTTTAATCACTCATCCAACTCCACAGACAGAACCGCACTGCAGCCTCCTTCCTCCTGCCTATGCTTCTGAACACAAAACATACTTACAAGGACTTCAGTTTCAACTGTGGGCCCACTTTCTCATGCATCTTGATCAAGCGGTTGTTACTGTAAATGAACATCCCAGCGTGGTTTCGGTTTTCTGTGTTCACTCCAAAGAATAGAGAGAGTGTCCTTGCTGTTTTTAATTCCCTAGCATTATATTTAGGAAAGTTAAAAATATTTTTATTAAGTAAAAATATACAGTTTACAAAAATGTAAATAAACTCAGAAGGGAACTATCAAAGGAGTTATATATAAGATATCCAGGTATTTTGCAAAACCAAGTGGGTACACACTCAGTATCCCTGCATAGCCAAGTATTCGGCAAAAATATAATGGCCAATAACCATGCCAGTCAAACACAAGCACTCCTGGATTCCAAAATAAGTTTGCCAATTTACATTTATAAGAACTAGAAAATGCTAAATAGTTATAAAATGTTAACTGACCTAATTGCAGCACTTTTGAAAACTAATAATTTGACTGTTTTTAAATGCAGGTATTTCTGACGCTGGATGTGATTTCTAACTTCTAGCATGTTCTCAAGCCTATAAGTATACTACATAGATCGGAACATGCCAAAAGAGATTCTTTACCTTTCCTTTTCCAAAATCAAAGAAAAATTAAAGTTAATAAAGCAAGTGTAGGAAGATTATGAGCTCCTGTTTGTCTAACTCTGTCCTGCATACTGTGTTTTACATGACTTTTCTATTAAAAGGGCCAGATGGAAATTGAGACAAAGCAGCATGTGGCAGAAACAACTGGAGTAGCAGGAGGCTGTGTGGAGCTATGAAAAGTGCCTGGATGTAAGAACCAGAAAGATGGACTTGGCTTCAACTACAAAAATACAAGCCTGTCTTTGTAACAACCATGTAACTATGATGCATCACTTCAACTTTCTGTCTCATCTAAACTATGGAAGAAAACATCTCTCTAGCCACATGGAATGCCGTGAAGACTAAAGGAGATAATGTCAAATATAAACCTGGAACAGATTAGGTGCTTAGCAAATGTTTTCTTTTCCCAAGAATGATTGCAAATATAATTCTTCCCCTCCGCCCATCCTATAGTTCCTTTCATTCCACAAAAACAGCTTTTTCTTTTCAAATTCATGCCCACCGGCTATTATAACTGACATCAGATACTGACATCAGATACTGACTGGACTAATTAAATGTATCTATCATTAAAGGACAACAATAAAGTTCTGTCAGTCTTTCCATGGGATATGATATAAGTACATCAGACTTTCTGAGGAATTTATTAATATGGGTTTATATTTATGTGTTTTTAAATGCATGTACATGTAGGGTTAAATAGATGTGAATCAAACTTTTCCTCAAAAATGTCTGCTCAATAATGAGAACCCCACTATTTAACAAAAAAGAATACTATGTAAGGAACCCCAAAACAGGGTGTTACAGGATATGACATAGTCACTCCGTGATATTAAGTGGCATACTGATTGCTTTCAAAGTTTTTTTTTTTAAAGCATTTTACTATCAAAATTTCACACCAACTGGCTTTATAATTAATAAAATATAGGTTGGTTACATTTCCTGCATATCATTGTGACTTCAAACAAGCCATCAAACAGCTTTTTCTTCCTGAAGACTTTAAAGAGGCCTTTGCTTTTCAATGAAGATTTCTCTGACATTCACTTAACATTTATCTTGATAAATGCATAATTAACATTTCAAATTTAAGGTTTGGGGAAAGTGATGATTGTATAGCATTTCATGGTTCACAAAAAATAATTCTGAAAACTAGTAATATTTCCCTAAAAACTGTTTCTCAAAGTTAATGCAGTTCTCAGTCTGACCTTCCTTGAAGAACAGCAACTATTTTCAGTTTAACTTGTGAAACACCTGAGTCAACCTTACAAATGTCAATAATGGTGTTGTAATATAGGCTTGCAATTTTTATCTTAACTACCTTATAACTGATAAATTTACTTGAAAGATTTTCCATCATAAATTTTCATCAGTACCAGCAGAGGGAAGAAACGGGGACCAACGCTCCAGAGTTTAAATGGCAAAGGACACAGGGAACATGAAGCTGTCAGCTGATTCCCTGGGAAGTTCACTTCTTTGTCCAATCAGACACTGAACTAATGTTTTACTCTGTATTCAGAAATTTTAACATTATGTAGACATATGTGTACATGCAGATATATATTTTATAAACACTTTGGCTTGATTATGTTGGTTGGGGGATTTTGATGCTTAATATCTGTCATAAGATGCCACAGGCTGAGAAAGAGAACTTGTCACACAAACCACCAAATCTGCCTACTCAGAAATCAAAATTTGTTTTTAATATAGCAACAAGGATTCTGGCAAACAGAAAATCAAATGTCTTACCTCCGTTTCTCTTTAAGAATCTTATGCTTTGTTTCCACATCTTCCAAAGCTTTCTGTAATATGTCCTGGAGAAGTACATTTGGTTAGGAGAGAACATTATGCCATTAGATTAACGAAAGCTGATCTGATATTTATTATCCTATTATACAAATGTTTCACAAGGGTAACGGTGATAGGTCACATTGCCTAATGCAATATTACCACGGTAGATACTCAATAAATACTTGATAAATGACTAAGTTCTAATAGCTAAGGAGACAAGCTAAATCCCAGCCCGCAGTTCTCATCTTGCACTAATTCCGATGTCCTGCCTGCCTTTCAGAGAAAGGGCCACTGCTCCCTGGAAGCACAGAGGTTTTTCACATAAACTTCCTGACAGCTCGGGGAAGTCATTCAACAACCGAGGCTCTGGCTTTCACCTGTGAGAACAGAAAATGCTGAATCACAGCATCAATCACGAAGGCTTCTTTCAGGGGAAAAAATTATGATTCAAAAATTTCGTCAGACCTGAAACCTATATAATTTTATTAACCAATGTCAGTCACCACAATAAATTCAATAAAAAAGAAAAAAAATTGTCAGTAGCCAAAAGAAAATGTTTCCTTCATATAAAGTTCCCGATACGCCCTCAACTTTAGGATATCACATCTAGGATTACTCCCTCTCAGAGTGCCTCACTACCAGGCCCTTCTGTCTTTCTTCTCTTTTATTTGATACTAGAGGCCCAGTGCACAAAAATTTGTGCACTCGGGGGGGGGGGGGGGGCGGAGAGGGGGTCTCTCAGCCCGGCCTGTGCCCTCTCGCAGTCTGGGACCCCTCGGGAGATAACGACCTGCTGGCTTAGTCCTGCTCCCGGGTGGCAGAGGGCAGGCCCAATCCCTAGGTGCAGCCCCTGGTCAGGCTCAGAGCAGGGCCGATTGGGGAGTTGGGGCACCGCCCCCTGTCATGCACAGAGCAGGGCTGATCGGGAGGTTTCGATGCCACCCTCAGTCACGCTCAGGGTAGGGTCGATTGGGGGGTTGGGGCACCGCCCCCTGTCACACTCAAGGCAGGGTCGATGGGGAGGTTGCGGCGCCACCCCGTCACGCACATAGCAGGGCCAATCAGGGGGTTGGGGCGCTGCCCCCTGTCACGCACAGAGCAGGGCCCATCAGGGGGGTTGGGGCTCCGTACCCTGTCAGGCACAGAGCAGGGCCGATCAGGGGGTTGAGGAGCTCCCCCCTGTCACGCACAGAGCAGGGCCCGTCAAGGGGTTGGGGAGCTCCCCTCTGTCACACTCAGGGCAGGGCCGATGGGGGGGGTGGTTGGGGCTCCGTACCCTGTCACACACAGAGCAGGGCCCATCAGGGGGTTGAGGAGCTCCCCCCTGTCACTCACAGAGCAGGGATGATAGGGGAGTTGGGGCACAGCCCCCTGTCACACACAGAGCAGGGCAGATCAGGGGGTTGGGGCACCACCACTGTCACACTCAGGGCAGGGCCGATTGGGGGGGGGGGGTTTGGGCGCCACACCCTGTCACACACAGAGCCGCAGGGCGATCGGGGGTTGGGGAGCTCCCCCCTGTCACACACAGAGCAGGGCCCATCAGGGGGTTTGAGCGCCACACCCTGTCACACACAGAGCCGCAGGGCGATCGGGGGTTGGGGAGCTCCCCCCTGTCACACACAGAGCAGGGCCCATCAGGGGGTTTGAGCGCCACACCCTGTCACACACAGAGCCGCAGGGCGATCGGGGGTTGGGGAACTCCCCCCATCACACACAGAGCAGGGCGGATAGGGAGGTTGTGGCCCTGCCCCCTGTCACACACAGAGCCTCAGGGCGATCAGCGGGTTTGGGCGCTGCCCCCTGTCACGCTGATCCCGGTGCTGGGAGGCATATTACCCTTTTACTATATAGGATAAAAGCCTGGTGCACGGGTGGGGGCCGGCTGGTTTGCCCTGAAGAGTGTCCTGGATCAGGGTAGGGGTCCCGCTTGGGTGCCTGGCCAGTCTGGGTGAGGGGATGATGGCTGTTTGCATCTGGTCACACCCCCTTCAGGGTGGGGGTCCCGCTTGGGTGCCTAGCCAGCCTGGGTGAGGGGAGGATGGCTGTTTGCATCTGGTCACACCCCCTTTAGGGTGGGGGTCCCCACTGGGGTACCTGGCCAGCCTGGGTGATGGGCTGAGGGCCGTTTTCAAGCTGGCGGGTGACTGAAGCTCCCAACCTGTCCTTTTTTCTGTTTTTTTTTTTTTATTCTAGGCCAGCTTTAGCTCTGAGGCTTGGCTCCAGCTATGAGACCTCCGCTGCTGAAAGCAGGTTTCTGACCTTTGTTTACCTTCTGTATTTGAAGCAATGTTGCGGTCCTGCTGGCTGAAGCCCGGGGTTTTGTTAAGCTTCTATATTTGTTACAATGTTGCTTACAGTGCAGCTGAGAGGCCGGCAAGGCAGGCAGGGAAGCTTGGCTTCCTCCATCACTGACACAAGCAAGCCTCCCTGTTTGTGTCAGCTGCCTGGCTGCCGGCCGCCATCTTGGCTGGCAGTTAATTTGCATATCGCCCTGATTAGCCAATGGGAAGGGTAGGGGTCGTATGCTAATTACCATGTTTCTCTTTTATTAGATAGGATATTTGGCTCATTCACTACCCTATCTCTAATACACTCCCTCTAACCAGACAGAAAAAAATGCATTATTATTTCACAAATAAGAATAGACTTTTAACATGCTCCATCCACCTGATGTGAAAAATGGACATCTCATTTGATGGGTATACTGCTGACTGAACATTATTTTCACTGACTTAAAAGTAAAAAAAAAAAAAAAAAAAAAAAAAAAGGTAAGTATTTCATTTTACTTCAAATTCAACCACTCAACTGCCGAGAGGAATTTTAGAGGTCAAATGCAGAGGTCATTCTGCTTTGCTCTCTTCTCTGCATTAAAGAAACCAGTGTGCATCAGAGCAACAAAGTGAGCTGGTCAAAGATTACCCTGCTCTTCCTGTCCGTGCTCAGAACACTGGGCAAAGAGGCAGTGAGAGTAACAGGTTAAGGCAACAAGAAAGCAAGGTCCTGACCCATTAGAAAGTCTGTTTCTCTTGTCTCTCAAATACATAAAACCAAGGAAATTTATTTCTTAGAAACAAAATAACAAAAGATTAAACTTCTAAGCTGATAGCAAGATAGGTCTAGCTTTAACTAAAAAAAAAAATAAGTGGGGGGAAAAAGTAATAGAATTTTGGGGAAACCATGGATAGCTTTGGGGAATTACTAGGTGCCAATCTTTGATTTAATTCCCAATCATTGCCATTAGACATGAGAACTCTTCATCAGATACAACCCTGGTCTTTACATGTTTTAGGGCAAATCTCAGAAAGAAATCATACACTGAGTCCATAGAAGAGAATGAAGGAAAGATGAAGTAAAACCTTTTCCTCCAAAAACCTATTTATCCCTTTGTATGCAAGCAAATATGTAGTGTAATGATTCATCATGCTAGAAAGCTTTGTATATTTTTGGTAAAAGTTGGAAAACTTAAATTCATGTCTTGCAGCAATATTCTTCTTCTCTTAGTTGCCATGCATTATAATTAATAACAATAGTTCTTTATAACCTATCTCACTCTTGGGTATTCTGCAAGAATTACAGAGGATGTTTATGAACTGTGTGGAACACCTCATACGAAAAGAGCTCTGTGAGCTGGAAGCATTGTTATTAATATTCATAATTACAGCACATAATTCCCAACTCTAGAAAGAAGGATTGTGTATTAGTCTTCTCCCTGTTCTGCCCATTTATTTAGGTCCACAGGGAGCTATGATTTGAAAAGATATTTTCAAGAAGACTTGATAAGCTAGCTTTCGACTGCTTTTCATTATTTTCTCCTATTCCTTTTCTTTTCATTTTAAAGAAATAAGTTGTGACTCTCTTCCCGACTGTCCTGAATTCACCCCACATTTTGTTCATCTTTGCTCTGTCTCAGCCTTCCCCCACTTGCTGAGTTTTGTCTCCTTTCTCTGCATTCATCTATTCTGTTTCCCTGTGTTCCTATTAACTTAGTCACCTGAGCTTATCTGCATTTAAAAATTTAGGGAGTACATGACAAGAGACAACTGTGCACAGGAAAAGGCAAAGGACACTGTTTGCCATTTAAGAAGATTGCTCTGTGTGTCATACCTTGGCGGGAGAAGACAAGGAAGTTCTATCAGGCTGGTTGACTCTAATTCGAGCATCTTTCAACACAAGTTCAGCTAGAAGCAGAAGCAAGGTAATTATACCATGAAATTCTTTCAAGCAATTTTCAGTGAGCATTCTATATACTTACATAGATATATATAACCATGACCAGGGAGAGAAGATTACAAATAATCACCTCAGAAAATCCTATACTCCTTCCACAGCTCTTACACATTCTAAGTGTAGGTCGCATACTTCCTCTTAGACATGGCGATTTAAGGGGAAAAAACACATACATACAAATTCAAAAGTCACAACTGGCTGTTTGGCGAACTGAAAACTATCTAAAATCATCAAAATATGGACGTAAAGTTACTCCTCCCTCAGGCATCCCTGGGAAACAATGGTTCCCTCCTCACTGTGAGAGAAGCGAATGTGTAGAACTTTCCTTCCTCAAGTGGATGCAGCACGAATCTCTGCAACGATCTAACTCAGCATCAGTAAAAACAAGAGTTCCTAAAGTAGACCCATCCAGTTCCACTTGGATCACACTAAAAGTAATAAATAACAATAATTTAACAGATGGAAAAAATGTGTATATAATTCCTTAGAGGAAGAAACTACATTTGACTAATTGTGGCTATCCCTACAATGCCTAGAGCAGTATGTGCCCTAGAATATATGCACACTTAATGTTTGTAGAATGAATGAACAATAATAAGGTAAGCCACAGGTAATTAATTATATACCAATCTTTACTGCTTCTTCTGCCTTTTTAACTTCATTTTTAAATGCTCCTTTAAAAGACGATGTGACATACAGATACTTTCTGAAAAATAAAAAAATAAATAAAAGAATCAAGTCAGATTATCATTTTATAGTACAAAATATTCTTTAAGGACACTATCCTAGTATACTCCAGATATACATAATTATTAAGAAAAACTCATAAAGTTGTATCCAGCTGATAAATAAGAAAACTTTATACCTAAAAAAAAAATCCTTACCATTTAATACTTGAAAATTTTGCTTTCTTAATGAATTTATTAGGGTGACTTAGTTAATAAAATTATACAGGTTTTGTTGTATAAATCAGTAACACATCATCTGTATATTGTATTGTGTGTTCACCACCCCAGGTCAAGTCTCCTTCCATCACCATTTATCCTCCCTAAATCCTCTTCTACCTCTCTCCTCCCCCTTTCCTTATGGTAATCACCACACTGTTGTGTCAATGAGATTTTTTTTTCTTCATCCTTTCACCTTTTTAACCCAGCCCCGCAACCCCCTCACCTCTGACGACTTGTCAGTCTGTTATCTGTGTCTATGAGTCTGTCTCTGTTTGATTTGTTAGTTTATTTTGTTCATTAGATTCCACATATAAGTGAAAATATATAAGCTAGTCAGAGAAAGACAAGTACCATATGATGTCACGCATATGTGGAATTTAATGAACAAACTGGACTAACAAGCAAAATAGAGACAGACTCATAGACATAAAATAAAATAAAATAAAACAAGTAAAATAAATTAAATAAGTAAATAAATAATAAAATAAAATAAAATAATAAAAATAAATTAAAATAATAAAAATAAAATAAAATAATAAAATAAAGAGAAAAATGGGGGGGAAATTCTTAGACACAGACAACAGTATAGTGATTACCAGCAAAAAAGAGGGGTTAGGGGAGTTTGAAGAGGGTAAAAGGGGGATAAACAATGACAGAAGAATACTTGACTTGGGGTGATGAACACACAATATCATAGAATTGCAAACCTGAAACTAATACAACTTTATTAACCAGTTACCCCAATAAATTCAATAATAATAATAAATTATTAATTTCAATAAATAAATAACTTAAAAATTCTTCCCACACAAATGTTCACTTATACATGTAAAATAGGATAATTTTCTTATAAAGAAAAATGTCTCTGCAACTGCTCTATTCTCAAAGTTTCTGGTTAATACATATAACCCTCTCATACAGATCATCACTGACACTGAATTAACTGCTTCTCCAAGTCCCCAGTCATCTTTAACTTAAATGCTGAGAAACACATATTATCATTTTAAGCTACTCAATCATATTTTCTACTTTATTACCACTGCTTTAGTGAGAGCAAAGACACTCTAGAACGATCAAGGAACTGGAAAATATATATACCTATAAACTCCAACTCAAAGGGAGCAAAGTATAGGTGAGAAAAGCACTGTAAAACAGAGGTTCTCTGATTGAAGGTGAAACTGTGTATATCTATTATAGAGGCTTCTTGGAATCCAGGATTTTACATGTTGATTTAAGTCATCATGGAGAGAAAATTCCAGAATGATATTTGGTTTCATAATGCTCAAACCTCTATATACCTCATTTCATAACTTTTGCCTTATACCTCAGACTTAGTACCTTCATGTTTACAAAGGCATTACATTTTCAGCAAGAGTTAGGTAAAAACCTATAGATCATTTCTGGAAACCAAATTATCTTAAGACATTTAAAGAGAGGTATTGGCTCAGGTAGAGGGGAGAGTCTAAACCAGTGGTTCCCAAACTTATTTGGCCTACCGCCCCCTTTCCAGAAAAAATATTACTCAGCGCCCCCTGGAAATTAATTTTTTAAAAAATTTTAATAGCAATTAAACAGAAAGATATATATAGTAATGTTTCTACCTTTTTCGTAAAATATAAAAAAAGGTGTAAATTAGAAACATTGAAGTTTGAAATTATGAAACTATTTATTGAACTCAGAATAGAAAGGTAATACAAAAAAAGTTAAAACAAATGCACCTGTGGCCATCACCGCCCCCCTGGATCGCTGCAGCGCCCACCAGGGGGCGGTAGCGCCCACTTTGAGAATCACTGGTCTAAACCTATGTGCTCCAATGAGTTTATGTCAGGTATAGGTAATAGATGGCCCATGTGCCAAATTGGACCAGTTTGTTTGTTTTTGGTACAGCCTAAGACAGTGATGGCGAACCTTTTGAGCTCAGCGTGTCAGCATTTTGAAAAACTCTAACTTAACTCTGGTGCCGTGTCACATATAGAAATTTTTTGATCTTTGCAACCATAGTAAAACAAAGACTTATATTTTTGATATTTATTTGATATATTTAAATGCCATTTAACAAAAAAAAAATCAACCAAAAAAATGAGTTCGCATGTCACCTCTGACACGCGTGTCATAGGTTCGCCATCACTGGCCTAAGATCTAAGAATGATTTTTCCATTGAAAAGGATCTAATCTAATAAAAGAGAAATATGCAAATTGACCATACCTCTGCCACACCCACCAGCCAATCAGGAACAAATATGTAAATTAACCCAACTAAGATGGTGGCGGCCACAGAGCTGGAGAAAGCAGGAGGCTTGGAGGCAACAGAGGAAGCCAAGCTTCCCAGCCAAGCTTCCGGCCTGCCTTGCCGGCCCTGAGCTCCGCTCAAGGCTACAAAGTTTCAATTATAGAAGATAAATAAATCCCAGATACCTGCTTCTAGCTGCCATGGCCACGGAGCTGGAGTGAGAAGGAGGCTTGGGTTGCCCCTCATGATGGAGGAAGCCAAGTTTCCCTCCTGCCCTGGCCGGACCTGGGCTACACTCAAGGCTACAAAGTTTCAATTATAGAAGATAAATAAATTCCAGAACAAAAAAAAAAAGGAGAGGCTGGGAGCTTCGGTTGCCGTGGGGCTTGGCCAGCCTGAAAACAGCCCTCAGCCCCTCACCCAGGCTGGCCAGGTACCCCAGTGGGACCCCCACCCTGATCCAGGACAACCTTCAGTGCAAACCAGCTGGCCCCCAACTGTGCAACTGGCCTCTATCCTATATTCTTATATAATAAAAGGGTAATATGCAAATTTACCCTATCAGCAGAACAACTGGGAATGACTGGTCACTATGACACACACTGATCACCAGTGGGCAGACGCTCAATGCAGGAGCTGCCCCCTGGTGGTCAGTGCACTCCCACAGGGGGAGCTCTGCTCAACCACAAGCTAGGCTGCCAGCTGACAGCACAGCGGTGGTGGTGGGAGTCTCTCCCGCCTCCTCAGCAGCGCTAAGGATGTCCAACTGCAGCTTAGGTCTGCTCCCCGCTGGCAAGTGGACATCCCCCGAGGGCTCCCGGGCTGCCAAAGGGACGTCTGACTGCCAGCTTGGCCCAATCCCCCAGGGAGAGGGTCTAAGCCAGCAGGTGGACATCCCCCGAGGGGTCCCAGACTTCAAGAGGGCACAGGCCAGGCTGAGGGATCCCTCCTGAGTGCACAAATTTTTGTGCACCAGACCTCTAGTTAATATATATAGATAGATAGATAGATAGATAGATAGATAGATAGATAGATGATAGATAGATAGATATAGATAGATATAGATCGATATAGATATAGATATATAGATATAGATAGATAGATATGCAAATGAGGCTAAGTGTAACCAGAGATTTATTATCAGGCCCTTTACAGAAAAGGTTTGCCAACTGCTGGAAGCTATGCTAATAGCAATGGATTTTAAATGATAGCTTGATCTACAATTGCTTTTGTATATTCTAACTTTATGTACACAGTAATGCAAATTTTTATCAACAGGTCACATGTAATTTAAATATCGTCAGCTGGAGTCTGTTGACTCTCTTCCATTAGCTCAACAGCAGCAGTGCTGATGTACTGAAGACAGAACACCTTCATGGTGGAGCAACTAAGAGCTGGACTGCTTGGAGCCCACCTGCCTGGGTAAAAGGTCTATACCCCTCCTAGTGTGTAAAACTGGGGGAATTACTTCGTTTTCTGTGATTTCATTTCCTTATCTGTAAGAAAACGATAGCTGAATGATAACAATGGTATCTATCTGCCGGGGTCCAACCCCAGCAGGTCCAGGGGTCCCCAAAGGTGTGGACGGAGTCGGCGAAGAAGGAATGACACGGAGACAGCGTTCAGTTCATCAGAAGCCTAGCCAGGATCTCTAGCCAGGATCTCTAGCCAGGATCTGCAGCGAAGTTCTGCTTAGGATCTCCAGCCAGGTTCTGTGTCCATGTTCTCTTGCTAGGTTCTCCAGCCAGGTTCTGTTCAGGTTCTCCAGCCAGGTTCTGTAGCCATGTTCCCTCGCTAGGTTTTCCAGTCAGGTTCTGTCCAGGTTCTCCAGCCAGGTTCAGTCACCAGGTTCTAGTCAGGTTCTCTTGCCAATTTCTGTAGTCAGGTTCAGTCCAGGATCTTTTGCCATGTTCTCTCCAGCGAAGTTCTTCTGTCTTAAGGTTCTGTGTAGGTTCTGTCTTCTCTCTTCTGTGTCTTGCTGTCTTGTTACATCTGTATTTATACCAGTTGATTCAATCCTATCAATCTCTATTCCAAAGGTTAGGGCAGGGCGTTTCTTATCTCCATTCCAGGGAGTAAAGATTATGTAGCTTAAGCTTGATTGTTCGTAGTTAAAGTGATTACCCGCCTGGCACTTAGTTGAGGGGTTTTATTTCCTCCCTAACTTCAGGGGAAAATCCTTACCTGGGGAAACAACCTTTCTCAGAGAGGAGACCTTGGTTAAAACACATAGTGCCAAGAAGGTGAGCAAACATTTTAAGAACAGTATGCCATATATGCCAGGTCCTTTGAAACAGCAAGGATGGACCGGCTCCCGGCATCTATCTCTAAGGCTGACATGAGACCTAAAGGTGTCAAAAGAGCTAAAGAACTTAGAACAATGCTGGTTTGGAATAAGTCAGCAATTTTTAACTGGTGTGCCGTAAGAATTTTTAAAACAAGCGACACCTGGCTATTTAGCCAGGGGCACTGACCTCTTTTCCCTTAGATTGTCAAATTTTTTTAAATGACAACAGCTAACACAATAGCTGTCAGTGTAAATGAATCAAAAGTACACTTTTTTTGTCAGATTGGCAAAAAATATATTTTTTGGTGTGTTGCGGAATTTTAGTAATTAGTTTATGTGTGCCATTAGATGAAAAAGGTTGAAAATCACTGGAGTAAATACCCAATATGTTATTATCTATAATAATAAAAATGTAATACGATAATTAGACTGGGCATCCTTCTGGACAACCTTCCAGACAAAGCTAGGGCTGCGAGAGAAGCCCGGGTCCTGGGTGGCTGCCTGCAGCCAGAGGGAAGCCCAGGTCCCAGGTGCCAGAGGGAAGCCAGTGCCAGCAGCTGGGGGAAGGAAGGCCTCCTATTGCACAAATTTTGTTCATTGGGTCTCTAGTTATCTAATAAAAACACATTTTAAGTACATATTCCCTCCATGTGTGTTTAGAGGGAAAATGCATTGGAATGAGGAAATGAAATGAGTAGCTGGATAAATTTCTCTTAAGAATCTGAAGTATGCCGAAACCAGTTTGGCTCAGTGGATAGAGCGTTGGCCTACGGACTGAAAGGTCCCAGGTTCAATTCCGGTCAAGGGCATGTACCTTGGTTGCGGGCACATCCCCAGTGGGAGATGTGCAGGAGGCAGCTGATCGATGTTTCTCTCTCATCGATGTTTCTAACTCTCTATCTCTCTCCCTTCCTCTCTGTAAAAAATCAATAAAATATATTTAAAAAAAAAAAAAAAAAAAGAATCTGAAGTATTTGTAGAAGGCTGCCCAGGTACCTATATTAAAAAGCTTGGAACTCTTACCATTTGCAACGGCATGGATGGAAATGGAGGGCATTATGCTAAGTGAAATAAGCCAGTCAATGAAGGAAAAATACCACATGATCTCACTCATTCATGGATAATAGAGACCATTATAAACTTTTGAACAATAATAGATACAGAGGCAGAGCTGCCTCAAACAGATTGTCAAACTGCAGCGGGAAGGCCGGGGAGGGTTGGGGGGCAGGAGGGAGGGGGGTAAGAGATCAACCAAAGGACTTGTATGCATGCATATAAGCATAACCAATGGACATAAGACACTGGGGGGTAGGGGAGGCTAGGGGACTGTCAAGGGCGGGGGGGAAAAAGAACACATATGTAATACCCTTTGTAATACTTTAAGCAATAAAAAAAAAAAAGCTTAATGTTAAAAATAACTAAATATCATCCTATATGCATCCAATTCATTGGTTTCCTGAACAATTCAGTGAGAGGTGGGGAGTGTCCCTAAGACATGAAAAGACTGTCCCAGAAGAACAGTGTTGCAGAGTCTCCACGAGCAGGCTATAACTTGGTGTCCCTAAACCTTAAAAAGGACAGTGCTGCTCCAAAGAAAGCAGGTGACTCCACTTCCATGTCTTTGGGCTCCTTTCAGTATTAATGGTAAATGGCAAAGCCGTGTTAATGAAAAATGAAGATCTTCCAACAGATAGCTTGGCTCTGTCTCCCTTAAAGAGCTTTCAAAAATGACTATTTTATATCCATTTTGCCCTCATATGCAGAGATTTAATGTCTAAATAATCTGAGAGCTATTTATCTACTAAAGTAAAAGAATTTAAAGCCAAAGAAAATCAGTAATGTCTGTTCCCTAAGATCAAGTACCATAGCCATACATTAACTTGTCTGTATTATATAGATAAACTAGAGGCCCGGTGCATGAAATTTGTGCATGCGGGGGCGGGGGGGGAGATTTCCCCCTCAGCCCAGCCTGCACCCTCTCCAATCTGGGATCCCTCTCACAATCGGGGACCACTGGCTCCTAGCTGCTCACCTCCCTGCCTGCCTGATCACCCCTAAATGCCCCCCCCTGCTGGCCTGGTCACCCCCAACTGCCCCCCCGCAGGTCTAGTTGCCCCCAACTGCCCCCCCACTGGCCTGGTCGTCCCTCACTGCCCCCCCACTGGCCTGGCCTCCCCCAACTCCCTCCCCCTGCTGGCCAGGCCTCCCCCTCACAGCCTGCTGTTTGGTCGTTTGGTCACCCCTGACTAACCACCCTGTGGGTCACCCCACACAGCCAGCTGCTCAGTAGTTTAGTCGCCCCTCACTAACCCCCCTGCCGGCCTGGGGATCAGGCCTAAACCGGCAGTCGGACATCCCTCTCACAATCCAGAACCACTGGCTCCTGCCTGCTTACCTGCCTACTTGCCTGATCACCCCTAATTGCCCACCCCTGCCAGCCTGGTCACCCCCAAATGCCCTCCCCTTCCCCGCCGCGGGCCTGGTCGCTCCACACAGCCTGCTGCTCAGTCGTTTGGTCTCCCCTCACTAACCCTCCTGCCAGCTTGGTTGCCCCACACAGCATGCTGCTCGGTTGTTTGGTCACCCCTCACTAACCCCACTGCAGGCCTGGTCGCCCCATGCAGCGTGCTGCTCAGTCATCTGGTTGCCCCTCAGTAACCAACCAGCCAGTCTAGTCACCCCACGCAGCCTGTTCGGTTGTCCATTCGGTTGCAATAGTCACTTAGGCTTTTATATAGATAGATAGACAATGTTTAAGACTCCAAGAATTACAACTATAGAATCTTTAAGTTGAAAGAGACCTTAGAAATCGCCTAGCTGAAAATCTTCCAAAAGTAATAATGCTTTCAACAACAATCTAGACCAGCCGTGGGCAAACTACAGCCCGCGGGCCGGATCCGGCCCGTTTGAAATGAATAAAACTAAAAAAAATAAAAGACCATACCCTTTTATGTAATGATGTTTACTTTGAATTTATATTAGTTCACACAAACACTCCATCCATGCTTTTGTTCCGGCCCTCTGGTCCAGTTTAAGAACCCATTGTGGCCCTCGAATCAAAAAGTTTGCCCACCCCTGATCTAGACTCTTCCAGGGGCAAAGTTGTCCTCATCTTGGACGGCAGGACTTCCACTACCGAAGAGCATGAACTTCATTAATCTCATGCCATACCATGGCCCCACCTGTGTTGTTATACCTCAACTGTAGTTTCCCAGGCCAAGTGCGTCTGGGGAAACTAAATGTGCCATCCTGGACACACTGGATTTCATATTCTTGACATTACATCTGGAAACTGGACTAGAGATAGACTGGTGTGCAACCACAGGGAAATATGTGAGCAATCAAAACCACATAATGTGTCTTGTCCTCAAATTCTTTCCAATAGAAAATTTTTTAATTAGGGAACAAACAGGTAGGTTTACAGAGAAAGTCTAAGCTTGATATACTTCATTTTTCAAAATATGATCTGCCAATCAAACGTAATTAGAAATCACCAGGCTGGTGTGGCTCTGTGGCTGAACATCAAACTATGAACCAGGAGGTCACAATTTGATTCCCTGCCAGGGCACATGGTGGGGTTGCGGGCTCAATCCAAGTATGGGGTGTGCGGGAGGCAGCCTATCAATGATTCTCTCTCATCATTGATGTTTCTGTCTCTCTCTCCCTTTTCTTTCCTCTCTGAAATCAATAAAAGTATATATTTTTTAAAAGTGATTAGAAATCAAAAGTAAAGCTTTTCAGAAATCCTCTGGTGTGTGCCCAGGGCATACAATTAACAGATCTATAATTTTTAATATTAATATGAGTGATTGCAAGGCCCAGGACAGCATCTACTTTTTCATGGAAATAAGACAACATAACAAATGTAGGTCTATTATAAAAATAGAGTTAGTGTGCTATAGGGGAAGGAGAATGAAATTTGAATTGGTAAAGAATCTGAAGCTAGGAGGTTTGAGCTCTTGTCTAGTTGTGATATTTCCTTATCTCTAAAAGGGTGATGATAAAACATAACCCACAGGGACACTGCAAAAATCAGGCAAAATAATACATGTAAACAGGCATATATAGTATAGCCTTGGCTGGTACGTCTCCTTTGGCTGGAGCATTGTCCTGTACACCAAAGGGTGGCAGGTTGACTCCCATTCAGGGCACATACCCAGGGCATGTGTGGGAGGCAACTGATTGATATTTCGCTTTCACATCGATGTTTCTTTCTCTTTCTCTTTCTCTCCCTCCCTTCCTCCTTCCTCCCTCCCAACCTTTCTTTCTCTCTCCCTCTCTGAAATCCATAAAAAAGGCATATATAGGTAGTGTACAAGCATTAAATGTTTCTCCCAGTAGATATTAAGCTCCTCAAACAAGAGCTAATCTTTATTCTTCTATGCTTTGCAACTAACACAACCTCAAACTCACAGAGGACTTTGATAAATGTGTGATGAATGAATGAATGCTCACCCAGAAAACCAACACACAAAGCATAACTTTTTTGATTGCATGTATAGCTGGTCAAGGTAAGTTTGATAATATGCAAATGTCAGCTTTAAAAAAGTTTATGCTGGTACAATCTTCCAGTAATAAAATAAGTCTGGGGATGTAATGTACAGTCTGGTAAATACAGTTAAATTGCATATTTGAAAGTTGCTATGATAGTAGATCTTAAAAGTTCTCATCACAAGAAAAAATTTTTGTAACTGTGCTTGGTGATAGAGGTTAACTAGATTTACTGTGGTAATAAAAAAAGGTTTATGCTAAAATATTAAATATAAATGAATTCAATGTGTATTTATAAATATATCCATTCTATACATAAAATATATACACATAGAAGTACGATTCAATCATTCAAATATATTGAGTAAAGAAAAATTATAAATGAACTGTGATTTTTTAGTGGAAACTATCACAAGCAAAGCACCTAAGATTCATTAAAGTACAAACCAAATTCTTACGCGAGGTGCTTCTCTCACTTAGAGAGTTCACTGCAGTGTTTTGTTATTGTGGCCATTTGTTACACATGATTACTCTTTAGCAAACCTTCCAAAATGCAGTTTAAATTTTACTTACAATAGCAAAAATCTTACTGTCAAACTGTAAAATCCTGCTATTGGATTATAGAAATCTTACTACCAAATCACCTTCACAATTTTGGGGAGGATGGCATACTGATTTTATAATAAAAACTGTATGAAGATAATTAAAGGAAGTTGAATTACCTGGGTTTGTAGAGGCAATGACAGAGGTGTTTTGTTTTAACTTTTTTGGCCTGAATAAATATTCTCATCCAAGGGTCAAAATACAGAACAGAGGTGTAGGCTCTGAATGACCATCTCTCTGGGAAACTGGAAGAGAAAACAGCAAAGGCTATTAGAGGATGCGATAAGGACACATATTCTCAGAGGGTCACAGAATCAGACTGTCAGGTTATGATGGTTACTACTAGCAGCCTCTAGGACTTTTCTTCTAAACCTCATGACACACTGAACACCAGCCACACTCAGGTACTTCACCAAGCAGGCTTCTTTACAAATAAGTGGTTGAATCATGAATACTAGGTTTTATTTTTCTTCTCACAAGTCATTAAAAGACAACTGACAGATTTAAGTAAAAGTAGTAACAAAAAAAGCAGGCCTCTAAGGACAAGGGCTTACTTGAATAATCTGCACTTTGATTAGAACTGAACTTTTGTTTGCAAATAACTATTTCTAAGTATACTTACATCAGCAGTAGAAAATATGCTTTCCATTAAAGCTATTGGCCCAGAAGGACAAAACCAAGCCAAATACACAAAACAATCCCCCTGCTCCAACATAACAAGAATCTAGGCCTACACTAATAAAAATATTTCCATAAAACTAATTCAGAGGAATACAGTAAAAATGTTTCATTTTCTTTGAAAATTATGAACTAGAAACACAAAACTTTATTCTACAAGTATAATAAGTATTAAAATAAATGTTTATGTCCAATCCAGGGGAGGAGTTTAATGATGTGGTAAGTGAAAAAGAGGAGAAAAGATAAAAATAAAGGATGGGAAGACAATAAAATGGGGGCAGAAACTATGTAAAATAGCCTATGTTGAGAAATCGCTGTGTTGCTGCATACTAACTGCAGGGAGCTTCTACATTAAAGTCCATTTATGAACTGTAAATCTCCTCCAATTAGACAAGAACAAATCCAGCCATGCGTCAGAAGTAGTGCTCTTTATCTACTGGGTCCCAGGAAAGCCTACACTGAAGGGCTTCCAAGGCCAAACAGAAATCAGGGAGCAGTAAAACCATCACTTTTACAATCCTACCTCAGTCCAGTGGGAGACAAAGATGATGGGAAGGAAATATAAAACCTATCGCAGGGAGACCGCTCAATGGGGTCACACTAATGCCAGTTACTCTGTAAGAAAGAGCAGAGCTCTCCAAAGAATTTACAAAAATGAAGATGAGGTCCATAAGAAATCTAAGGATTTCCTAGTTGCTAGTAAGTTCCTTCAGGCAGGATCTAAAGTTCATTAAAAAGCCAGGAGTTTCTCTGAATTGTTAAAAAAAAAAAAAGAAATTATTTGAAAGTAAGTCTTGAGTAAAAGTTTCCAATATAAATTATAAAAAGGGATCTAGTCCATGGCTACTATTCTATAAATACTATTGCATTTTTATTGTGACGAGAGGCTGTCTGCATTTGGGTATAGCACTATACCCAATGTGATTGACGTTAGTATACCAGGAGCGGCACAATCAACTAAGTCCTCATCTGTTCAATGAAAAAAAAAAGTCACCTTGGGACACTAATGGCAAAAGGTTTTGAGGACTTTTGCCATTATTCAAATGCTTTCTGGATCTCCTGATTTCAAATTGCCCTTAGATATAATATAGCTCTTCCTTTTGACTGTCCCCAAAGCAAGCACATCTCTGTCATCTGGAGGTAAGTCAAAAATAATTCAGAGCCAAATTTGAGAATTAGAGAAATATAGTGGGAGATCAAGTTGGGTTAGACAAGTTTTGGTTAAAAAAAAATGTATACAAATCCAAACAAGGACACTAATACTTCTAACTCTTGTTAGGTCAATTATTTCACTTAATAAATGTTCCTCGTATCTGTATTGGGGATCCTCAAGACCTCCTCTATGTTAGGAGAATTGCTAGAAGGTCTCACGGGACTTACCATATAATGGTACTCAGGACTAAGATTTATCACAGTGATGAGTAGGATATACAGTGGATGATCAGGGGAAGAGAGGTGGAGTCTGGAAGAATCCATGTGCACTTTCATTTGGCCTCTCCTTCTCATGACAGGTCACACAAAACATACTCTTCCTCCAGCTATCAAGGTGCAGGAACATGTATGTGATGTTTCTGCCCAACAAATCCCATCGCAGGCTCAGCACCCAATGTTTTCATTGGGAGCTGGTCACATAGGCACCCTCTGCCTAGCATGTATCAAATTCCAGAGTCCCAGAAAGAAAGTAGGTTTTCAGTATAAACCATATTGTTTGCATAGTCTAGACCAGTGATGGCAAACCTATGACAAGCGTGTCAGAGGTGACACGCGAACTCATTTTTTTGGTTGAGTTTTCTTTGTTAAATGGCATTTAAATATATAAAATAAATATCAAAAATATGTCTTTGTTTTACTATGGTTGCAAATATCAAAAAATTTCTATATGTGACACGGCACCAGAGTTAAGTTAGAGAGTTTTTCAAAATGCTGACACGCCGAGCTCAAAAGGTTTGCCATCACTGGTCTAGGCACATTGTGCCACCCTTCTCTGTTAGGAAAGGTTTATATCAGTGTAGGGAACTGTATATCAGCCAAGTTCCCAGAAGCCCACCAAAGACCAACCTTGCAAGCAAGACACAATGAATAGAAGCCTTCCCCATTAACCCTTTTCTACACACATGCATACTTTCAAAGTTACTTTTTATCTATGACAAACAGAATAGCAATGCCTCTTATGCTATTATGATATCTATGATTTAAAAAAAAAAGAAGAAGAAAAGAGGTGAACTATAAAATCTGTATAGGAAATGGGCCACCCAATGTAACTTTCAAACTCCTTTTTATGATGTAGAAGGTCCTTCATGATCTGGCCCCAACTTAACTCTCCAGCCTTGCCTCTTACCAGCATCTGTCTAGCAATTTAGGACCACTCTGTTGTTCAGATATGGGGGCCGGCTTTCTTGTCCCCAAGCCTAGGCACATTCAATCTTTTGGCTACTTTCGGTTGGCTTTTCACCCATGAGAATGCAACTCGAAACCTTTCTTCCTCTTGAAGCCCTCTCACGCTCCCCAAGATGGGGTAAATCACTCTCCTCTGGTGCTCCCCTTCTTCTTCGTGCCTCTCCATCACAGCACGTCACTTACTGGTGCCATTGCCTGTTACCTGTACCCCCATCAGGCTATAAATTCTGTGAGACCAGCATCCTCATAAATAAATGTGTGTTGTCTAAGTGATAATTATTCAGCACTCCCTTGGCTTAATTTAAAATGAACAACATAGGGTTGCCTGTGTAAGAAAGACTTGTAATGATTGATCATCTTCAATGATAATGTTATCATTTTTTATAAATAAAGCCATTTGCTTAGGAAACTGGGATACAACTGTACAAAATAATGAAGAGTATCTTAGGAAGATCTAGGGAAAATATACTCTTACTCTCTACCCATTAGGAACTGCTTTGCATCTTTTCCAAAATGTGTTCTTCTCTTGTTTCCTCCTAAATGTCTCTTTTCTGTCTTAAACTGTGCCAGAAGTGTCGATATCTTTATCTGTACCTCTCTTTCTCTCTTACCTCCCATTTAACTGGTTATAATAAACTGAAAAACAAAAGAGAAAGAGCGAGTAAACCTCCTGACACACACACACACACACACACCACCAAATGCACACAGAGTCACATGACAGACATGGGGAAAGAGGAAAGTATTTTAAGGCAGAAACTGCCTTGATAGTCTGTGGAATATGACAGGAGGAGACAGAGAGGTTTTTTTGTCACCTGCTCAGCAATGGGTATTTTCAGAAAGTTTCTACTTCACCTCCAGCTGTGGCTGTGGCCTCTCTGTGGCCTCCTCCTCCCAATCTATTCACGTTGTTCTGCTACTGTTTTAAGTGTTGCTCCACAAGTGAAAGTGTTGTGGTCAGCAACTGTGTTAAAGTCAGGAGAGGAGCCAGAAAGTGGAATCCTGTAGCCAGTCATTATCTCCTTTATCTTGAACTATGCCTGTTTTGAGAACCACTGCCCACAGACCTAGTGGACAGGGTGGTATGTACGTCAGGTTGCCTGAAAAGGAGAACAGTCTCTCACAGGTGTTTAGACCTAGGACACCTTCTACATCTATCCACACTGGGTACACAGACAACAGACTTCCATTCAGCCCTCCAACTACTGAGGTCCATGGTTGAAAAAATAAATCTAAACTCCAGGCACTAGACTAAATTAGATCCTTTTTGGAATATCTCTGAAGTGCCATATTTTTATTCATAAAAATACTGTATATTATTACAAAAATTATTTTCTAAATTTATTGCTAAAGTCCCTATGAAATCTCTGAAGATTTCTTGAAGCTGAAATTAACAAGTCCTGCATTATCCTGAATATAAAGAAGTGCATAAAGATTTTTAACTACTTTAAATTCTGAACTATGAACAGGCTAACAAAATTTAATCTTAGGGTAGATTACACCTAAGAGAAATGGCAACTCAAAGAGGTAATTTAAAAGAAAAGTTATAAGCTTTGCAAAGTAATGAAAGTACTTCTGTCACAACCACAGTGTGGCAAGCCACACATTATAACAACTTGAAGCTGTAACTCTTCATGTGTTCCCAGCCAGCTCAGTTAAGACATAAACTAGAGACTTTGTTATGGAATGCTGCCCAAAGCTGTCAATTTAGAAACACTCTGCCAACTTGGCACCTAATTTCAAAACATTACTTAGCACAAAATTTAAATCCCATTGCTCTGTATTATAGCTTCACACTCAGGGCTGTTTGGGGGATGGATTTCTTCAGCCACCTCAGATCCTGCAGCGCATGGATTCCAGGAGCACGCCAGGCCCGTTTGATGACAGTCCATTCCACAACATGCCTTTTTTAAACCAGAATCTCTGCCTTCTTTCATTTCCTCATAAAGTTGAGTATGTATAACTATTTATAACACTAAGAAAATAATAGGTCACTGAAAGCAATATGGACACAAAGAAGTCACACGCACATGAACCAGGGGAAATGGTCATATGGTCTGGAGCCCCACAGAGAAACAGGAAAAATGCTATAGGAGTGATTCAGTTTTCATAGTTTAGAACTCAAATGAGATTTTAGAGATAAGAGAATCACTTACCAAAATGTCTTAAA